CTCTTGCCCGAAGGTTCTATTGTAGGGTAAGCCGGAGCGGTCGTGGTCCCGCACACTGTGCCGCCGATCCTTGATGGCCCGAGCGTGGCCCGCGTGGTGCTCGCGTGGCCCGGGAGTCCTTCCCCCGGCGAAGCTCTGCTTAAAGGGGCGGGTTGGTGCGGGGTTATTGAGCGGTGAGTGTCTCCCACAGGATGGAATGCATCCACCGCCCTCGCGCAAGTATCCACAGCGAGACCGTCACTACAGCCCCCGCCGGACCTGGGAACGGCGCGGCCGAGGCGGCCGGGCCTACGGTCCGGGCGAGCACCAGGCCGGGAACGATTACCAGACGAGGAAAGTGGCAAAGGCCCGGCGCGGTAAACCCTGGCACGATACCAGGACTAGTAAGGGCGCGGCCAAGGATCAGAAGGCGAAGGACGAGGCTAAAGCATCGGGAGACCCGGACAGGGACGATGCCGACGCCTCCACAGCCGATGCCAGCCAGAGGTAAGCCTCGGCCTCTGTACGCCCGCACGCCACGGTACTCCCGTGACCGAGACTAGCCTCTCGGCGGGTGCGGGAGGACGGCCGAGATTTTCTCTTTCAGGTGATCAGCGACGGGTGTCTCCCAGGTGATGTATTAACAGTAAGTTTACCCGTAGTCCCCGCCACAAGTTGGTATTATTTACTTATACACAAGTACAGTATCTTGTGGCTCCTCCCAGGTGGGTGCCCTTAATATTGGTACATTACTCACTCCAGCACAGTGCAGTACAGTACTACAGGCTCTTGTGCTGGAGTGACTCTTGTGTTAAGATATAGTTCATAGAATCATTAGTTAAGGTGGATATAAACCACACCTCAACCTGCTCAGTTGTTTTATCCTTCCCTCTTGTCCCGGTCAACAACAACAATGTTCCACACCCATAATAACTGTACCACTCTGTAAACACCTCCACAAACTAACCATCCTCATGCATGTGTACAGTACAGGGCCGTCAAAATGGTTCATGGTGATAAGTGATGATAGTCTTGATCGTTGGTGTAGTCCAGACCATTAATGAGACCAATTGTAATTCTAGCCTTTATGGTACACTGAAGATTAGCACCCCTTCCTCCCTCACCCTCCCTCCCTCACCCCACATAGTTTCAGGGTGCTTGAACATCAGGCAATGTGGTAAACCTTTTGTTTGAGGAAGGGAAATGGGTGACCTCAGGTGAGCACTTAAGTGATGGGTGACCAGGTGAGCACTTGGGGTAGGAGAGTGACTACAGGTGACCACTCAAGAGATGGGTGACCAGGTGAGCACTTGGGGGTAGGAGAGTGACTACAGGTGACCACTCAACAGATGGGTGACCAGGTGAGCACTTGGGGGTAGGAGAGTGACTACAGGTGACCACTCAAGAGATGGGTGACCAGGTGAGCACTTGGGGGTAGGAGAGTGACTACAGGTGACCACTCAACAGATGGGTGACCAGGTGAGCACTTGGGGGTAGGAGAGTGACTACAGGTGACCACTCAACAGATGGGTGACCAGGTGAGCACTTGGGGGTAGGAGAGTGACTACAGGTGACCACTCAAGAGATGGGTGACCAGGTGAGCACTTGGTTAGGTGATGGGGGAATTTTTAATCGTCGGGTAAATCATAAATCTGTAGAGGCTAATATTACACAAGATCTCGTTCCTTGGCTCTATCTCCGCCACACCTCTGGGGGTCGGAGAGATCCTGTACTAGACAACACTGGGGAGGAGATGACTCGGAGATATTTACCCGTTACCAGCGACGAGTTTAGTGTGAGTCATACTACCCCATTGGTGTCAGTTTTGGAACCCTGGCATAAATTTTGGAACCATGGCATCAATTTCGAAACCCTGGCATCAATTTTGAAACCCTGATATAAATTTTGAAACCCTGGCATCAATTTTGTAACCCTGACATCAATTTTGAAACCCTGGCATCAATTTTGTAACCCTGGCATCAATTTCGAAACCCTGGCATCAATTTTGTAACCCTGACATCAATTTTGAAACCCTGGCATCAATTTTGAAACCTCAGCAGCAATTTTGAAACCCTGACGTAAATTTTTTCACCCCTGACATCAATTTTGTAACCCTGACATCAATTTTGAAACCCTGGCATCAATTTTGAAACCTCAGCAGCAATTTTGAAACCCTGACGTAAATTTTTTCACCCCTGACATCAATTTTGTAACCCTGACATCAATTTTGTAACCCTGACATCAATGTTGTAACCCTGACATCAATTTTGTAATCCTGACATCAGTTTTGAAAGCCCTGTATAATTAAGTAAAAGTTGATACTTAATAATCTCAACTGTATTCCCTGTACTAGGTGTCATTGTCTGCTACCCTGTCATTATTATTATCATTATTACGCGGAGGTCTAAGAATACCTGTACAGATTGTGTTCCCAATATGTACTTGTTTGGGACAGGTACACTTACGCGTCAGTCGTAGTTTGTTGTCGAATCTATATAAAACCAAACGAATTTAAACTTTTGTCTTCAAGAATGTAAGCCAAGTTTATTGACTCTAGTCTAGTCCGGTCTAACCAGATTTAGTCGTATATATAATCAAGTTAAACTAAAACTAATCACAGCTAACTAAACTTTTAACCAAATTTGATCACATCCAACCTAACCTAACCAAATTTTAGTCACATTCAACCAAAATTTCACTGATCTAAATGACCTTTACACACACACACACACACACACACACACACACACACACACACACACACACACACACACACACTTAAAGTTGTACAGGTATTCTCATTAACCTTCGGGGGTCAGAACGGGATGGGACGGGGGACGGGGAACAGGATGGGACAGGACGGTCTAGGTGTTCTCATTCCTCCTCCTATAAATCATCGAGTATTTGTCGTTCCCAGTGAAGCAGCATCCAAGGAGGAGAAGAAGGGAGGCAGTGAGGAGGAGGAGGAGGAGGAGTCGCTTCACCAAGGTGCAGAAGGGCAGAAGAAATCCGCAGAGGATAAAGGAGGCGAGAAGGAGGTAAGCGGTGGGTGGGAGTGTGGGTGGGGGGTGTGGGTGGGTGTTTTTATCATTGAAATATGTGATCAAATAAAGATTAATTTTTCCATTTTATTTTGATTTATAATATCTGTCTTCTTCCTCTCCTCTCCTCCTTCTTCCTCTTCCCTCCTCTCCTCCTCCTCTCTTCTTCTCTATCTATATCATCATCTTTCATTAAATCTGTCCACTAACCTTCCTATCTCGTCCACAGTCTGAGGAGATCACATGGTTACCGAGAGAGGCTCTAAAGTGCCACATGTGTAATCTCTCCAAGTTCCCAGATATCAAGGTAATTATTGTCAAGGTATATTTATTATTAATTTACCTTAAAATCCCTAAAATTCTTAAAAAATTCCCCCCAAAATACTTAAAAATCTCTAGAATTCCACAAAAATCCCTGAAATTGCCAACTAAAGATTCCCTACCTCTAATTCCATCCAGATATCAAGGTATTTATTATCTTAAGGTATATTTATTATTATCTTACCTTAAAATCCCTAAAAACCCTACAAATCCCTTAAAATTCCCCCCAAAACTTAAAAAATATCCCTAAAATTGTCAGTTAACTATTCCATACCTATCTAATTCTCAACCAAAACTCAGGGACATTGTAACGTGTAGTGGTGATGTTTGCCATCCCCGTAGTTGATTTCCACAGTCATTAAGTGTACGTATCTAGGCTCGTGTGCGTGTCTAAGCTTGTGTGCGCATGTAGGCTCGTGCGCGTGTCTAGGCTTGTGTGCGCCTGTAGGATCGTGTGTGTGTCTAGGTTTGTGTGCATAGATAGCATACCTGGTACCTGTGTGAACCCCAGGTAATTAATAGTATACCAGGTACTGTATTAACACCTGTCCCCTCCCCCCCCCAGGCTTACCTACGTCACCTGGAGAGCCGAAAGCACGAGAATATGAAGTATGCTTTCCACATTAAGGGTGCGGCTATACTCCACTTCCTGAGGGCAGAGTCTAAGGTGCGTTCTGTGTTATTTTGTTCTTTAGGGCTGATTTTAAGGTGTGTTATTTGTTGTTTTGTTCATAAAGTGCCAATTATAAAGTGCGTTCTCTCTTATTTTGCTCATAAAGTGCCAATTCTAAAGTGCGTTCTCTTATTTTGTTCATAAAGAGCCAATTCTAAGGTGCGTTCTCTGTTATTCTGTTTAAGTGCCAAGTTTAAAGTGTCATCTGTTATTTTGTTCTTCAGTGCCAGGTTTAAGGTGCATTCAGTTACCACACCTCTCTCTCTCTCTCTCCGTAGCTGGCCTCCCAACGCCGCATAGTCAAGAGCCATCGCCGAGGCATCATGGCACCCATCCTTCGGTGCCGCAAGTGCCAGTGTGAGATCATCGGGTACATGAGGGAACATGCCAAGACTGTAGAGCATATTGTGAGTCACTGTACCTCCCTCACTACAGTTATTGATGCTAAATGAAGGCCTAAAGCGGTGTGATTTTGTACGAGTTTATGGTGAAATTGATGTGATTATGTTGAAATAGGAGTGATTTTGTAGGGGTTTATGGTGAAATAGATGTGATTATGGTGAAATAGGAGTGATTTTGTAGGAGTTTATGGTGAAATAGATGTGTTTATGGTGAAATAGAAATGATTTTGTAGGTTATGGTGAAATAGAACACATTCTCCGTCACTGTATCTCCCTCGCTACAGGAATACCTAACCTAACCTACCCTAACCATAACCTAACCAAACCTAACCAAAGCTAAACTCCTGTATATCCCCCTTGCAGGCACTGAGGAACTACCTGCGTGTACAGTGCTGTGGTAACACCTACTTCAACAGGGCTGACTTGGAGGAGCACCGACTATCCCTCCTTCATCTTAAGGTACGTACATGTGTGTGTGTGTGTGTGATGGGACCTTGATATAATGGACCTTTCTCTCTCTCTGCATACTCTAAAATTGAATTAGATAGAAGGGATTCTCACTATACACAGGCTGTCTTGAAGGTCGCGTGAATGTTTTTCCGATACAACAGCAACATTGTCCCTCTTGATGTGTGAGGGCCGTCACGAGCGTAGACGATGTTGACGGTGTGATGCAGAAACATTCACGCGATCGTCACAACAATCTGTAGGGCACTGTGTTTTTTTTTTAGACACCCTGTAGAATCTTATTGCTGGTAATGTTATTTTATGTACGACACAGATCATTATTTACGAATGAGTTGTGTTCTTGAGTCCTTTTGTTTGCGAGTCCAGTTGTCCGTGAGTCGAAACTGTACTCTCGTAGCTACCAAACATATTGTAAATAAATAAATGTCATACAGTACAGCTATACCTTAGTGATAAATACAACATATTATTTAACAGGTTAACGACTTTTAACGCCATTTTAAACGTATAAATAACAGCAGTACTTACGGCTCCCACCTCCAACGGCCAATTAGACAGAGACAATTTGTTTGGTAACTCTGAAGTGTTTGTAAATAGAGTAACACCTGTACACATTAACACCTGTACACACTAACACCTGTACACACTAACACCTGTACACACTAACACCTGTACACACTAACACCTGTACACACTAACACCTGTACACACTAACACCTGTACACACTAACACCTGTACACACTAACACCTGTACACACTAACACCTGTACACATTAACACCTGTACACATTAACACCTGTACACACTAACACCTGTACACATTAATACCTGTACACATTAACACCTGTACACATTAACACCTGTACACACTAACACCTGTACACATTAACACCTGTACACACTAACACCTGTATACATTAACACCTGTCGTTTTGTCTCTAATCTATGCTGTCTTTTACAGAATCAACTTGAACTGGAGCAGAAACAAAAGGAGGAGGATGAGAACAAGACAGATGACGTGGGAGTACCCGAGAATGGTGAGGGGGAGGGTGTGGGAGGGCAGGTAAGGGTGTATGTATGTTTGTGTGTGTGTAGTTAAAATAATTTGATTGGCTGAGAAAAAAAATCATGAAACCACATTAAACCAAATTGGATTCAGAAACGTCAAAAAAAAAAAAACGCCTCACTGATTGATCTAATTGACCTTTCACCACCATTAACCCCCCCAGAGCTAATTGACCTCTCGATGTAAATAATCGTTCTCACCGCCGTTGAACCCCCACAGCTAATGGCAAGTTGTTCGCCGAGACCATTGAATTGCTGAAGAAATGCAAGTACGCAGAGGCGACTAGCCCGGAGACGCTGCTGCCGTACGACCCGTCTGTGCCCCAAGGTAAGTCACACACCCACCCAGAATGACTGTGAGTGTGTACTGTACCCCAATGGAGAATATATACGTGGAGACCTTATGTTTATTTAATCTTTCAGGGTTTAAACTATATGTATAGACCTAATGTATATGTATTCTTTCAGGGTTAAACTTCATATGGAAAAAATCACATTATCGCTGCCAAGTTTGTCGCATGGCAAGGTTGACCTCCGCAGCAGACACTGAGGAACACTTCAAGTCTCTCGATCACTACAACAACATGCTCGCTCACCTCAGCAAGATTGAGGTGAGTTGTGTCCTAGGGTCGGGGAGAAGTTGCCATAATTGTAAGAATTTGACTTTTTTCAGGGAGTCGCCATATTTTTTTCCAGGGAGTTGCCATAATTTTTAAAGGGAGTCGCCATATTTTTTTCCAGGGAGTTGCCATAATTTTTAAAGGGAGTCGCCATATTTTTTTTCCCAGGGAGTCGCCATATTTTTTTCTTCCAGGAACCGCCATATTTTTAAAGAGTTGCCATATTAGGATTCACCATAGCTGATGCATACCTTGTGTGTTAACGGAGACATTTCTAACCCTCTTGTGTCCTCCGTGCTAACATAGGAGGAGCGGGAACAGAAGAGGAAGAAATTGGAGATGGAGGAGATGAAGATGAAGGCACTCAAGAGGAAGAACGAGGAACTGGCCGCCATTATGAAGGAGGAAGAGGAGGAGGAAGAGGAAGAGGAGGAGGAGGAGGAGGAGGAGGAGGAGGCCAAGAAGAAGAGCGGAGTACAGGACGAAGGGGAGGAGATCAGCTTCGAGGATATGCACAATATGGAGACGGTCGATGAGGCCTCGGATGACGGGGATCAACACATGCACAGCGGAGAAGAGGACGGAGACGAGCATGATGATTCGGTGAGTGACGGAGACCAGGAGATTAGTCATCCCTAGTTTGTATCACCTGGAGATTATTTCGGTCTCATCCTAACCTAACCTAACCCACCCTACCCCCACAGGTAGTATTTGGGTGTTTAATAATCATGTGAAAATAAGCATAAATTATTGTTTTCCAGGGAGTTGCCATAATTTTTAAAGGGAGTCGCCATATTTTTTTTCCCAGGGAGTCGCCATATTTTTTTCTTCCAGGAACCGCCATATTTTTAAAGAGTTGCCATATTAGGATTCACCATAGCTGATGCATACCTTGTGTGTTAACGGAGACATTTCTAACCCTCTTGTGTCCTCCGTGCTAACATAGGAGGAGCGGGAACAGAAGAGGAAGAAATTGGAGATGGAGGAGATGAAGATGAAGGCACTCAAGAGGAAGAACGAGGAACTGGCCGCCATTATGAAGGAGGAAGAGGAGGAGGAAGAGGAAGAGGAGGAGGAGGAGGAGGAGGAGGAGGAGGCCAAGAAGAAGAGCGGAGTACAGGACGAAGGGGAGGAGATCAGCTTCGAGGATATGCACAATATGGAGACGGTCGATGAGGCCTCGGATGACGGGGATCAACACATGCACAGCGGAGAAGAGGACGGAGACGAGCATGATGATTCGGTGAGTGACGGAGACCAGGAGATTAGTCATCCCTAGTTTGTATCACCTGGAGATTATTTCGGTCTCATCCTAACCTAACCTAACCCACCCTACCCCCACAGGTAGTATTTGGGTGTTTAATAATCATGTGAAAATAAGCATAAATTATTGTTAAGTTGCTCTCTCTCTCTCTCTCTCTTCCTTCCTTCCTTCCTTCCCCTCCCTCCCTCCCTTCTTCTCTCCCTAACATAACAGATATTCATATCAAGTTGCTTTGTCTCTTCCTCCTTCTCCCCTCCCTCTCTACCTTCCTTCCTTCTCTCCCTGTGTTTATATCATCATCATCATTATTGTCATCATCATCATTGTCATCGTTGTCATCATCATTGTTATCATTATTGTCATCATTGCAGGTTGAAGAAGAAAATGAAGACCTGACAGGATTGAAAACTGATGACTTGGAGGATGACTCGGACATACAGGAAGTTGGTGAAGATGATGATGGTGACTATGGTGAAGAGGATGTATGGTGAGTCATGGTGTATGGTGAGTCATGGTGTATGGTGAGTCATGGTTTATGGTGTGTATGGTTAGTCATGGTTTATTGTGTGTGTGTGTGTAAGGAGACAGTAAAAGCTTTTGCGTTTAATGCCCTGTGTTTGTGTTTCAGCATGCAGGACGACAAACAGACCCCAGAGAAGGAACCTAATGGGGCCCCGGAGTCAATAGATGAAGCCATGAAGGAGGAACTTGAGGATGAAGTGGAGGAAGTGGGAGAGGATATGGTTGAGGAGGAGGAGGAGGAGGAGGAGAAGGAGGAGGAGGAGAAGGAGGAGGAGGAGAAGAAGAAGAAGAGTGACAAGGTAGAGGAGAAGAAGATTGAAAAGGTAGAGGAGAAGAAGATTGAAAAGGTAGAGGAGAAGAAGATTGAAAAGGTAGAGGAGAAGAAGATTGAAAAGGTAGAGGAGAAGAAGATTGGAAAGGTAGAGGAGAAGAAGATTGAAAAGGTAGTACAGGTGAAGGAAGAGGTCAGAAAGAGCAGTGAGCCAACGACCACTCCAACTGCCCGTCGGGGTCGAGGGAGAGGCACAGTGCGACCCAGCAAATAGGTCCGACCTCTCGACGATTTTGTGATTGGTTAACCAGGATAACGATGACCCGATTTTGTGGCAGGAGAAATATTACAGGTACAACATCGTGTAGGCTCAATTGTAGGTTAAGTTGGCTGGTTTGGCGAGCGGATGGTTGGTCTGTTTAGGTGTAATAGATCATAACCTGATCTTTAAATAGCTGCCATCATCAGTGGTAGTTAGCTGTAGGGACGGTGGCCATCATCAGTGGTAGTTAGCTGTAGGGACGGTGGCCATCATCAGTGGTAGTTAGCTGTAGGGACGGTGGCCATCATCAGTGGTAGTTAGCTGTAGGGACGGTGGCCATCATCAGTGGTAGTTAGCTGTAGGGACGGTGGCCATCATCAGTGGTAGTTAGCTGTAGGGACGGTGGCCATCATCAGTGGTAGTTAGCTGTAGGGACGGTGGCCATCATCAGTGGTAGTTAGCTGTAGGGACGGTGGCCATCATCAGTGGAAATTTTGTCTCCATACCTTTAGACTTTAAAGATAAAATTCCATAAAAACTTTGTAATGGAATATTTTTTTAATCGACAAAAGTTCGTAGATAAAAAAACAAATTACGAAGTGAAGTATTTTGGTTAACCGAGACCTTGGCACTGTCCACTTACCTTGGCACTGTCCACTTCTTGCCAGCCAATCTTGAGGCCTAAGACACGTGAATCGAGACATTGACGACGACAGACGATCGTGACGGAAAGTAATGTAACCATGAATGTAAAGAAGATGATTTAGGGTTTTCATTTGGCTTATGCTGATCCCACTGACTTGAGTGTTAAAATGGGATCAGTGACTCTGGTGTATGTAGAACCAGGTACTGTGAGGTCACTGTTCTAAAGAGGGTTAATGTGAGGTCAATATAGAGTTGGTTATTCTTGATAAAATCACACGGGGAAAAGGGAAACAACGGAGCACCTTAGCTTTTGTCTTTATTCAAGACATCTTCAGAGGGAACTGGATTACATGGACAGAGAGAGGCTTAAATATACAGGGTGACCTTATTAAACATGTGGTCAGGTCATAATGATGTCATCCACTAATCCCCACACCAACACACACGTAGAGGAGCTTAAGATAAGGGGGGTGACGTGACTAGTCAGGTCAGGTCAAAAATAAGGGACCCACTAATAACTATCATACATCTAGATCAAAGGTTTTCAAAGCATTTTTAACCTTGGGCCACTGACAAATAAATTTATGTAACATATCAGTTTTGAACTGACCATCACTAAGGTTTATTGATTTTAATTCCTTAATCAAACAAGCTTCAACCAGAAGTCTTTCTGTGACACAAGATGATTTGAATACTTCTAAGCTTTTTTCCCAAGCAATGAGATGATTATTATTCGTAACATGAACGAACAGGGCACTGCTTTCAGATGCTGTTCTGATATTGTACTTATGTTGTCTGATTCTGAGCAGCAATGTTTTTCATGTCTGTCCTACATAATTACCATTACATTTGCTACATGGAATACAATAAACACTTCCATTTACATTCAAACTTGGGCTATTCCTTATTAACATATTGGTAATGGTTGAGTCATACTTGAAAACAACATTAATATTTAGTAGTTTGAGGGACCGAACTAACGGGACAAATTCATTACGATAGGGCAGAGTCAAAATATTCTTAAGTGTAGGAATTTGCCTGGTTTGAGAGGAATGAAAGGATTTTTTAGCCCTTTTAAGGCAATGATCAACAAACACACAAGGGTACCCAAGTTTTTGTGCAATGGAACGAATGTGTTTCAATTCATCATCAATAAATTCAGCGTCACAAATAAACAGACATCTTAAGAACATAGCAGAAAAACTGACATTTTGGTAGACACCAGGTGATTCGATAAAAAGTGTATGAAACTGTCTACCTGTGTGGGCTTTCTGTATACCTTAAATTTGTAGTTGGTTAATGTGAGGTCAGGTTCCCAGTGTTGGTTAATGTGAGGTCAAGATCCCCTGTCCTCCCTTCCTAGAGATGGCCACTGTTACATTAGCCCAGATCTTGTTGACATTAACCCCCCCCAATCTCTCAGACAAAGCCACATTAACCTAAAGTTAACTCGCTTGATGAACCACCGGATGATCGGATAGGTTTGGTTAGTGTTAGGTTAGACCAGGTTAGATTCATGTTTGGTTATGTTAGGTTAGGTTAGAAAGTGTTTGTTAGGTTAGATTAGGTTTGGTTAGGTTAGGTTAAGACACATCAACTTTACTGTACTGTTGGTATTATTGCACCAATTTATGGATACATTTTACAAGTTATTGAATAGAAACGATAATAAAACAGTTGTCTTGTATTAAAGTTCTACAGCGTTGGAATCTTTTATATGAACATAGATTTAAAATTTGGATTATAAGTTGAATTCTAAAAATTCATTTCACACTTACCATGTTTTTTTTTAAGTGCGTCTATTTAGGAACATTAAAACGCACTCTCATATATTCAGGATGTATTTTTTTTTTTTTATTAGTTTGTTTGAATGCGTTTCTTCGTGTTAGGGTCATTAAAACACACCTCATATTTACCAAGGAATTTTTTGAGTGCGTTTTGTCGTGTTCGGGACAGTAAAACACAACTCAAAATTACCAAGTATTTTTATTATGTTCAGTGTGCGTTTCATATGATTAAGGAGACAATTACGTTCCTTAACTAATTTTTATTATTTAGAAATCTTAAAATCACCTGGTTTTTTTTTTTTAAGTATAATTGTACGAATGTGATTTAAGGTCAAGTTTAATTGCTTTTATGTTCGATCGTTAACATGTTTCAATAAATACAGGTTCTCCTACTTGACCATTTTGGATTTTATTTCATATTTCCTGTTGTTTAAACCAAGTTTTTTTTTAGCCCATGTCATAAACGGTATAAACAAAGTGTGTTTGACCCATTTCTCTCTATTACAATGTATAGATCAAAATTTTTAACCCATGTTATTTAAATGAGTAGAAATATAGTGTTTTAACCCTTGTGTCTTAACTCGGGGTTAAGTCATAATATTCAAGGGGTTAAATCATCATACTCAAGGGGTTAAATCATCATACTCAAGGGGTTAAATTATCATACTCAAGGGGTTAAATCATCATACTCAAGGGGTTAAATCATCATACTCAAGGGGTTAAATTATCATACTCAAGGGGTTAAATCATCATACTCAAGGGGTTAATGCTCTACTTCTTCTCAAAGGTCAAAAAAAACAACTCAATATTTCAATAATTTCTGTGAATAAACTGAAAAAATGTACAATAATTTAACAAATCATAGACCAGTATTATAATTATTGCTCTTACAAATAAACAAGATTATATAACAGAATGGGATGACGTTTACAAGTGAGTGTTGTGAAACGTAGAGTTGTGAGTGGTTCTGAGAGGTTGTGAGGCATTGTGAGGCATTGTAAGAGGTTCTGAGGCATTGTGAGAGGTTCTGAGGCATTGTGAGAGGTTCTGAGAGGTTGTGAGGCATTGTGAGAGGTTCTGAGAGGTTGTAAGGCATTGTGAGAGGTTCTGAGAAGTTGTGAGAGGTTCTGAGAGGTTGTAAGACCTGATTATCTCTATAACATCATTATTGGTCATTATTTCATCATTACTGAATCATCCAAAACATGTTTCATAGATTTACAATTAACTTATAAATATCCACATATTTACTTTCAGAATGACTTTACACTTAAGCTGAGATTAAGCTGTTATTTAGAAGTCCAGCTTGTTGATGTCAGTGAGGTTAAATTGATTGCAGTTGAAGTCCAGCTAGTTGACATCGGTGAGATTAAATTGGCTGAAATTGGTGAAGTTTAATTGGCTGACATCGGTGATATTGAGAGAGAGAGTGTAGTTCGATGCATCCTGCTGCTCTGATTGGCTGGGCTGCATAAACTGGATCATGACGATAAAGTAAGTGACGACCGCACTCAGTACCTGTAGGGGTGATGTGAGATGTTTTGTGTGAGGGAAGATTGAGTTAAGTGATGTTATTAAGTGACGTGTTTTGTGTAGGGCAGAAGACCGTTTACACAATACTACTACTACACCTCCACCACACTTACCACCACTACACCCACCACCACCACACACCACTTACACCCACTATTTCCCCCACACCACTAAACACTACCACCCACTGCCTACCACCACTACAGATACGCTTCACACACACCTACCACCACTACACATACGCTTCACACACACCTACCACCATTACACCCACCACACACCCACAACACACCCACCACACACCCACTCACTGTTATGATAAATGGTCGATTGATGACGAAGAATTTGCCACCAGTGATGTACAAGGGCGACCCTGTCAATGCTGTCGTCAATTCGTCTTTCTGTAAGAGAGAGAGAGAGAGAGATAGTGTTTGACCTCACCTGACCTAACCACACAAAACACCATAGCAAAGACTGACTTACTACCTGACTGATTCATTAACTGATAACACTCACTGTCTGACAGGTGAGGTACTTACAGGTGAGGTACTGACTGGTGAGGTACAGACTGGTGAGGTACTGACAGGTGAGGTACTGACAGGTGAGGTACTGACAATATACTGCCAGACTGGGGGTCACTAATACTAAGGGTAAATACTTAACTCTAATCTTAATTTCTAAGGGTTGCTGCCACCAGACCCCCTCTGGACAGCATGTAGCTCGTTAGGTAGCGTGCAGAGTGGACTAGGCATTGGGTTAGGTTTTTCATTGACCAGATCGATAAGGGGAAGGAAGGGTGAAACCATAATATGTCTTAATTAATTTATTCTTTATAAAGCATACTGGTAAAAAACATACAAATGAATTGGTCTTCCTCAGAAGAACAACGAAAATGTTGGTTACCCAGATGGGCCCCAGACGTCTTACATTAATGGCGTGTCATCCACCTACTTATTGCATAACAATCTGTGACCACCTTACCTCGGTCATTCCTTCTTACACTATCCCTTAACACATCAGACTGCTCCACCTGTATGGAATATAGCACCGTCGGTTATCATACATAGTAGCACCATCTCAACACACATGTTACACTCCTCCCCTGCAGGTATGGGACTCATTGTAACTTTTAGGTATACACGACAGGCGCCTCGTTCGCACACCGCCCTCGGTGGGTAAAGACGAGGGCTTCACCAAGAGACATACCAGTACTATTTCTACGCCTGGTATTATAGGTCGCTCCAAGTGACGACCGCGGAGTTTCTCACGGTCTGCTTATTTGTTACTACTCATTTGGAGTGAGGTGCTGGGAATCCACAGGTTCACAGTGGATTGGCATAGCTGGGAGTAGTCACCACCTGGTGGGATGCTCACAGGGATAATGGCCGCCGCCCAGCAAGGCACTCCGACCGCATGGGACCCGAGGTGACGGTAGAACGGAGGGTACTCAGAAATAATGCCTGACGGGTGGTTATCACACACCCTGACACATTACTATTACACTTATACATCAGGCAAAGCTTTAAACTGTAATAACTGCTATATAAGCCTTAATTACAGGGCGGGATATAGCCCGATAGGACACTGACCTGAGGTGACGGTAGAACGGAGGGTACTGAGGGCAGTGCCCCGCCGCTCGTCACCGCGTAGGCCTACAGTTTCCAATCTTTAATTTTTACTTTTATTTCTTACGGTTCTCACCTGAACACTTTCCTGTATGTTGTAACTCATGCCGTATAAACACATATTTTAATCCTAAATTACACACTAAGGTAAGGTCTTGGTTTGCCAGTTCGTGGGTAAATTCATTGGGCTATAATATCAACGCGGCACACTCGAGGCGGGTACAGGACGCTCCCCAAACAAAGGCCGAATGTTCATGGTGTGGGTATATCCACTTCACTTAAAACTGTAATTAGGGATCCTCCTCTCACCCATTGCACTATTTGAACACAGACATAAGATTCTCTGATCACTGTACCTGTCGTGGGTATATGTCATAGCGAGGATACGAGGTGTATTAAGTTCACACCGACGCATACACGATATTTCCTTTCAAGTATAGTTTCTGGGTCACTTCCAACACCTCACATAGTTTTGATACATTTATCCTTTTTCCAGATCATTGTTCTCATGTATTTTCATATGATATCTGTGGAAGTTATGTTCGCTACACGTTCACAGACGTAAATAGTATGACCTTCAAACCATGATCCACACCTAGTCCTACAGTACACTAGTCCGGCTCAACTGGACTTTCCCAATCATCTTATGGATACCCTGAGTTCTCCTTAATGCTATGAATACATACAATTAACATAATATAACCTTACCTGGGTACAATACAACACATGATTCAGTAACATTGAGTAGGTGAGTTATCCTTTATCAATGTTTCCCGTTCTCTGAGATTCTACAAGCGCGGTGGATTTCAATGTTGTGTAGCGTAATATGAATTAAATGGGGTTTTTAGGAATGACAATGATGTGCGCAGTACAACAGGTGAGGTACTGACAGGTGAGGTACTTACATTAAATTTGTCTCTGTCTGAAGTGTCATAGGGAAGACCTCTTCTTAATACATCTATGCTGTCATCGGCCTGGTGGTGGAAAGATTACGTTAGGGTAGGGTAGGGTAGGTTAAACAGACACACGCACACAGACACTCGTGCACATGGATAGATATACATACACTTACCTACATATATATATATATATATACACTGCAAGTACGTACATATTCAGAGCTACATATACACAGTCATACACACATATTCTCTCTCTCTCTCTCTCTCTCTCAGGTCAGGTCAGGTCAGCCTAGACTACAATAACACATTTATAAATTTCAATATAACATTCCATCACCATCAACATCCCGACCAAACATTCACTCAAGATCATTCATTCACATTCCATTCATTCACACATCAGTTCCTATACACCCTAAAGGTATCAATTATTCTTCATTATACACAATATGGTATGTATAGAAGTATGTATGTTGGTATAGATGTGAGATTTAGTATGGTGGTTGGGTCTGTGATTAGGTGGTTGTGGTGTATTGTGTGTGGTGGTTTTTTTCTCTCTCTCTTTGGAAATATTTCTTCGCCTCTGAATAAAATCTTTGTATACAAGCTTTCACATGCTAAGGTATTCACTGGTGGTCTGCTGTTGGTATTGTGACAGACAGACAGACACACACACACACACGAACAGACAGACTTACCACCTCCTGTACAGCAGCAGCCGAGAGAGACACCTGCACAAAGACGGCTGCAGTCTGTAGTGTCATGAGGCTTGTAGCTATTACCCCATCAGCTGAGTATTGACTGGACCCTATACGGTAGGCTAAGAGGTACAACTCGGTGCAGAGAATTATCACCTGTATGGAAGAGAGAGGGATGGGTGGGTGGTTGTGGGAGACAGAGGGGGTGGGTGGGTGGGTGGTTGTGGGGACAGAGAGGGGTGGGTGGGTGGTTGGAGACAGAGAGGGATGGGTGGGTGGTTGTGGGAGACAGAGGGGGTGGGTGGGTGGGTGAGAGAGGGGTGGCAGGTGGTGGGGAGACAGAGGGGGTGGGTGGGGTGGTTGTGGGAGACAGAGGGGGGTGGGTGGGTGGGTGGTTGTGGGAGACAGAGAGGGGTGGGTGGGTGGTTGTGGGAGAGAGAGAGGGGTGGGTGAGAGGGGTGAGGGAGAGAGAGGGGTGGGGAGGTGGTTTAAGAGATATTAGATCCTTAAAATAACAAAGGTAAAAATAATCAATTTCCTCCTAACTGGTGATATGAGAACGTATCTAACCGACCGAACTTGTATTAAAAAACCCAACTAACTCATCTTAGACAGACAAACCTGCCAATGTACTCACCGTAGATGCATAATAACACTGTAGCATTGGACCGAAGATGTACTCTGTCTCACGGACTAGACGGACTAGTTGGTAGTGACTTTGGACCAGAAGGCCAAGGCGTCCTCTGGTTCGATCCCTGCGTTGCCAGATGTCTTGTGGGGAGAAAGTTGAGTAAATGTATTGAGTACGATGACTTAGTTTTGAGTACGATGTCTTAAACCCTTGAGTACGGTGATTTAAACCTTGAGTACGATGGTTTAAACCTTGAGTACGATGACTTAACCCCTCGAGTCCAATGTCTTAACCCCTTGAGTACAATAACTGAATTTCTTGAGGAATTAAGAAAGGTTTTGTTAGATTAGATTAAGTTAACATACCTTCAAGGGTGTTCCTGAGCTGAGTGTTCCAAGCGCCTAGACCGTTCTTGAGGAGGTGACAGTTTGTGGTAAAGGAGAATAATGACCCCTTAAACACACAGAAGATATGAAGGCATACTACACATGTTAACACCCGCAGTACCTGTGTGGTGGGGGTGTATATTGTTAGTTAGGTATCTGTCTGTCTGCCTGGAATTATCTGTCTTTCTGTCAATATATATATATACATTTCTCTCTCTCTCTCTCTCTCTCTCTCTCTTTAAAAAACCTTGTAGATGTGTGTGTGTGTTTTGGTGTGTATGTGTGTGTGTTGGTGTATGTACAGTATGTGTGTGTATATATTTTGTGTGGGTGTATGTGTTGGGTGTGTGTTTGTGTGTATTACCTTGGTGAGGGCAGGTGAGAGGGTGAACCAGGTGTGAGGCATTAAGAGGATCATCTGAGCCACACCATCAAATCCATGAGACACAACAGCTGGGACACCTGAGACAGCCATGACCATGAACGACACTGAGAACAACATCAGAAACAAGACCTGAACACGGACAACCACGTACAGACCGTCCGTGGGGTCCAGATCAGCCGCGGCAACGAGGCTGTTCCACGTGTTGAGTAGTTCGCATAGACGACTTCCGGAGTAGATGGCATTGAGGACTTGTGCCCAGGCGTTGACTAGGTTCCCGGCTATGAGGATCACGACCATGAGTTTAATACCGAAGACGTTGATCTCCTCCTGTGTGTGGTGAGTCTCTCTGCTGGTGAAGGTGGTGACAAGGCCTACCATAGTGGTGATGATCAGTGCGGTGAAGTACAGAGCCGTCAGGAGGGTGTGGAAGCCGGCCAGACTCTTGAGGTTGACTTTGTATCGTCCGTCAGCGAGGTCGTAGGTGTATGGCATGACCCCTAAGATTCTCATCAAGATCCTGAAGGGCATGAGAGGCGGTTTGAGGGTGTTGGTGATCCTAGGGGCCCCGTGGTCACCCCCAGGAAGCATCAATACACCCATCATCTCAAGCTCATCCTTCATCACATCCTGTCGAGGTTCAGGGATCCCGAAGGCCTCATCGAACCTCACACCTCTGAGGCGTCTCTCCACCCTCGATGCCCACATGTCTTGCTTGGCCTTCACTAACTGGCCCTGGCCCCTTAGTCCGCCCAGCCAGCCACCTTTCATCTCACCACCAGCCTCCATCACTACACCTCTACCTTAACTTTGACACCCGATGTGACACCTGAGGACTGAGTGTGTCACGTGTGTCATACAGCACCTTGACACTCGCCTCCATCCTCCTCCCTACACCCAGCAGCCTGTGTGTCGTGTAGTGAGTGACGGCAGAGTACTCATTCTAACTTGTATATAGTGGGCGGAGTCATGGCAAACCACGCCCCCTTCCCACTGAGCCCGTGTGGTCCTCCTAATAGGCGGAGCTACAGTTAGCCACGCCCCTCCCAGGACATGAGGGCGGGTGTGGGCGGAGCTTCACACCCCAGCAACAGATGTAAACAAATTGGAATTTTTGAAATGCTAGATAGATAATACACGCACACACACACACACACACACACACACACACACACACACACACACACACACACACACACACACACACACACACACACACACACACACACACACACACACACTATTAATATCATGTTACAACACTATAACCCTGATATAGCTAGGATGTATAAGATATATAAGCCGGTACACCTCTCATAAGGGGAACTATAAATCCAGGTTGTGTATAGTCGTATAGATCAATAAACACTAACTCATTCTTATATAATTAAGTATAAAGGAGAGTTATTATTTAGTACACCTCTATTATATTTTAAGCTATTTATTATATTTTGAAAGATTGTTTATTGTTGGTGTAAGTAATAGTTTTAAGAAGGTTATATTGACCGTGTTTATGAATGGTATTGTGTTGGTGACTACAGATGGCGTTAGGTTAAGTTGTGTTAGGTTGAGTGAGTTAGGTTAAATATGGAAGCTCAGTTAGGTTTATTTTGGTTAGGTTAAGGTTAGGTAGGGTTAGGTTAGGTCAGGTCAGGTCAGGTCAGGTTAGGTTAGGTAGGGTTAGGTCAGGTTAGGTCAGGTCAGGTCAGGTCAGGGTATATAGCAAACATACCATTGCCAAGGCAGGGTGTTGTGTAGACCAGGCTGGTGGCACCATCAACATACCCTGTGCCACGCCGTCTAGGACATGACCTATGATCTTAGGGTAGTCCAGAAGGGTCAGGGTCAACAGGGCACACCAAAAGAAGGCCAGAAAGATGACCTGCAGAAGTACTGACGATCGGACACCCTGCACCGGATTCAGATCAGTCCCGGCCACCAAGGTGTTCCAGTCGTTGAGGAGACCACAAGCGCGTCGACCGTAATACAAGACATTGATCACTTGTGTCCAGGCGTTAACCAAGCACTCGGACACCAAGATGACCCCCGTTAACTTGATAGCCTGTACGTCCTTGTCCTGGGTGACGTTAGGGTCAGATTGACGTGTGAACATAGCCGTTAGACCCACCACGGTAGTAACCAACAAGACGCTCAGGTATACAGCCGTGATTACCGTGTGTATCATGGCCCAGCTCGTGCACACTGACCTATACGTACATGAGGCCTCGTCGTACACATAAGGCACGATGCCCACAGCCCTGAGAGCAACACGTAGAGGCCTGAGACAAGGCTGCAACACCTGGTTCACCTCCTGGCCTGAACACTCACACACGTCCGATCCTTCAAGTTCAAAGTCCTTTTTACTGGATCCTTCAAGTTCAAAGTCCTTTTTACTGGATCCTTCAAGTTCAAAGTCCTTTTTACTGGATCCTTCAAGTTCAAAGTCCTTTTTACTGGATCCTTCAAGTTCAAAGTCCTTTTTACTGGATCCTTCAAGTTCAAAGTCCTTTTTACTGGATCCTTCAAGTTCAAAGTCCTTTTTACTGGATCCTTCAAGTTCAAAGTCCTTTTTACTGGATCCTTCAAGTTCAAAGTCCTTTTTACTGGATCCTTCAAGTTCAAAGTCCTTTTTACTGGATCCTTCAAGTTCAAAGTCCTTTTTACTGGATCCTTCAAGCCCAAACTCTTCCAAAGGACTTTCTCTAGACTCCTGGATCTTGAAGACCTTCCTGGGGGCTTTGTGTTGACTTGGGACGTTCATGGTTGGGACTGATGTGGTTAAGAGTCCTTCACTTATCCTGCGAGAGATGGTGGTGGGGGTCATCCTTATGTGTGTGTGTTTCTCTGTGTGCATGTGTGTGTGTGTGTGTGTGTTTCTCTGTGTGTGGAATGTGTATGTGTGTGAATGTGTATGTGTGTGTGTGTTTTCTGTGTGCAAGTGTGAGATGTGTGTGTGTTGTGTGTGTGTGTGTGTGTGTGTGTGTGTGTTTCTCTGTGTGCATGTATGTGTGTGTGTGTGTGTTTTCTCTGTGTGCATGTGTGTGTGTGTGTGTGTGTGTGTGTGTGTGTGTGTGTTTCTTGTGTGTGTGTTTCTCTGTGTGGTGTGTGTGTGTGTGTGAGATGTGTATGTGTGCGTGAGATGTGTATGTGTGTGTGTGTGTGTTTCTCTGTGTGCATGTGTGTGAGATGTGAGATGTGTGTGTGTGTGTGTGTGTGTGTGTTGTATCTAGCCACACTTGTGTACTACACTTAATACACACCCCACCCACCCTCTACACCCACCCACACCCTCTACACCCTCTACACCCTCTACACTCACCTACACCCCACCTACACCCACCCACACCCCTACACCCACCCTACACCCTCTCCACCCACCTACACCCCCTACCCCTACACCCTCTACACCCTCTACACCCACCTACACCCACCTACACCCTCACACCCACCTACCCTCTACACCCACCTACACCCTCTACACCCACCTACCCACCTACCCTCACCCACCTCTACACCCACCCTCTACACCTCTACCCACCTACACCCCTACACCCACCTCTACACCCACCCTCTACACCCACCCACACCCCACCTCCACCCACCCCCTACACCCACCTACCTCTACACCCTCTACCCCCACCTCTACACCCACCACCCACCTACACCCTCCCACACCCACCCACCTCTACACCCCTACCCTCTACACCCACCTACACCTCTACCCACCACCCTCTCACACCCACCACACCCTCTACACCCACCCACACCCTCTACACCCTCTACCCACCACACCCACTACCCACCTACCACCCTCTACCCCCCTACACCCCACCTACACCTCTACACCCACCTACACCCTCTACACCCCACCTACACCCTCTACACCCACCCACACCCCTCACCCACCTACCCCCCTACACCCACCTACACCCACCTACCCCACACACACCTCTACACCCTCTACACCCTCTACACCCACCCACACCCACCCACCCACCTACACCCTCTACACCCCTACACCTCTACACCCACCTCACACCCACCTACACCCACCTCTACACCCTCACACCCACCTCCCACCTACACCTCTACACCCACCCACACCCCCACATCCACACCCCCCCACACACCCACACCCACCCACACCCACCCACACCCCCCACACCCACCCACACCCCACACCCACCCACACCCCACACCCACACCCACACCCCACACCCCACAACCACCCACACCCCACAACCCAACCCACCCCACACCCACCCACCCCACCCACCCACACCCACCCACACCCCACACCCCACACCCCCACACCACCCACACCCACCTACACCCCACACCCACCCACACCCCACACCCACCCACACCCCTCACACTCACCTACACCCACCCACACCCACCCACACCCCACACCCCCCACACCCCACACCACCCACACCCACCCACACCCACCCACACCCCACACCCACCCACACCCCCACACCCACCCACACCCCCCACACACCCACCCACACCCCACACCCCACACCCACCCACACCCACCCACACCCCACACCCCACACCCACCCACACCCACCCACACCCCACACCCACCACCCCACACCCACCCCACACCCCACACCCACCCACACCCCACACCCACCCACCCCACACCCACCCACACCCCCACACCCACCCACACCTCTACACCCCACACCCACCCACACCCCCCACACCCCACACCCACCCACACCCCACACCCACCCCACACCCCACACCCACCCACACCCACCCACACCCCACACCCA